TTGTTCAAAGACAGTCAAGTACTTTGTGACAGGCCTGAAACCCAGAAACTTTAAAAAAATCTAGGATATCATTCTAGCCTGAAATAATTCTTTCACATATCTGGCAGTATTGGTAGCAAAGGCAAATAGGGAAGCCACCGTGACTTTGAAATGAACACATCTGAACTGACCTCCTGGAAAAGAAACATGAAATAAACGGGTTATAGTAACTTCTTTGGTAAGAGGCAGGCCACAAAGATAAGGAAGCCTTTGACAAAGTCAGGGACATTTCTGAATAAAGCACACTACGGTGATGGAGAACGAATCAATGAATCCATCATTTCAAAGCCCAGGTCTACGGAAGTGCTCTTAGACTTACAGCACCTGGAAATGTTACCGGAATTGGAGAATGGAGTGATAAATTAATTAAGCCAATATTGCAGAGACTTAGGAGAAGAGGAGAGCTCTCAGATCTGGAACCTCATCACTCTCCTCTAGCTTTTATTCCTGCTCTCAGACTTGAAGGAATGAGGGTGAAACAATGCAGCTCTCTAGAGCTGGTAAGACCCAAGGCAACCTGCCTTCCACCAACAGGCGTGAGACAGTGTGGGTGGGTCCCATCTACAAACCATGTAACTTCAGACAAGGTTAACCCTGCCCACACCACTTATGACACAGTCAAAGACAAAGATGACACAACCAGGACAGCAGCATTGAGGAGTTCTTCTAAGGTCTTGGAAATTAGCAAGCAAATGGAAACCAGTGGTATAAAACCATAACAGAGTTACAGAATGAGCTGAACTCTGATGTAACAACAAGGGAGACCTCTCAAGCACCCCACCACCAGCTTACTGTCTCACAAACACTGGTCTTGCCAAACACCTGACACTTCCATGTGGATTTCTCTTCCTCATTCCTCACTTTTTTGCCCCTGCTCTCTTCTTACAGTGCATACCCTTATTCCCTCCATAGGGTATCCCCTTGTTTCCTAGCTAAAATATAGTCTGAGGCCATTTCCTCCACCTGCCTGCAGTGAAGTGATCCCCGTGCCAGCCCTATTAAGATCAACCATTCTTCTCATTTACTCGAGCCATCCCATTAGTTATCAGTGGTGACTTTGAAAGGAAAGGGGAGTTTTATACCCTGCTCAGCTCTCACTGCAGCAGGCACTTAAAAATAACTGAAGCTTTGTTTTCAGAAAAAGCAGCCTTGCTTTAGAGCTGACAGGATGATCCATAAAGTCACACAGCAACCAAAATATTTCCAGTCCAGTCTGCTCAGCAGCAGCCTGCTGTACGGCCACAGGTCTGGTCTCTCCTGGCATATGAAGCAATGTTGTTGAATTTGCCTGGGATGCCTGGATGGTGCTGCAGGTGGAAGCTCTCAACACAGGAGATGGTCACTAACCACACAGTTACCAGTGTGGAAAAGGCAGGCTGATAACCCCAGGTAGGGCAAAAGTGTATGCAAGACAGACAAGCATTTCAGACTGCAATGCTGAAAAATCAAAACTTTACAGGATCCCTTCCCCTCTCCCAACTGCAGTTCACTCACTACAGATATCTGAATATTTTCAGTGGCTTCACTGAGACATGACCAGGCTGTGGCCAGCAATATTTTCCTTTCAAAAAAAGCACAGTACACTTCCTAAGGCAGTAAAAGTAAGAGGTCATTATTTTTTTTTTCTTAATTCCAAACCACAGGGAGTGCCACTGTCCATAACCCACAGTCACTGCGGGACCATGTCACCTCCAAGGTTAACAACACTGATGAGCAGAACCTATGAAGTGGTTCACTACATCCGAGTGCACCTCTCTCAGTCCACCTCCGAGGGAACAAAGAGAAGCGATTTCTCTCCAGCTACTGAAACAGAGTAGCCCACAGAATGTCACATAGGTTCTTTTCAGGTGCTCAGCATTGTAACATCTAAGGTACTATAAATCCCCTGGAATTAAGCAGAGTCCAAGAGATTGCTCTAGCTCTTCTAGCAAGATTGGAAATTAATACAGACTAGGCTGACCCTTCCACTCACTGGGATTTAGGCAGCTTGTCAATATCAAAAGCAAGAGAAAGGACAAACACAGGAAAATTGCAATGAAAGATCTGCTTATCTAGCTAAATGCACAAGCCTCACCACTGAAAGCAGAAAGGACAGAATGCAGAATAGCTCCTTGGAATAGCTGTGAAGCAACAGATACTTTTCAAACGCAGCTTGGCAGTACCACTGCTTTCTGAAACAAAGGGGGCTGCAGCCTTACTGACAACTCATGAAAAATGGTGTCTAAAAATGAGTTAATACAAAATGCATCACCACAAAAGGAACGTATAAAACCTGTAACATGGCTCAGGTTCCAGAGTGAGGGGCATGCTAGCAATTTCTACAGAAACGTTCATTTACAGTGTGTCAAAAGCTAATCCAGGTCAATTCACTACCTAAAAGTCGAGGTTTTGAGAAATGTCTGTTCTTTTCTTGCTAAGCGTGCTCCCTCCCCAAAGCACAATCAATGCCAATCAAACCCTGCACATGAGCAGAGCTCTAGTGGAGAGATGCAGCCCATACAAATGAAAAATGCCACGAGCCCCTCTAGAAAGGCAGCCCTGACAAAGCCTACAGCACGGCTCTTCCATTAGAGCCTTTCATAAAACACAGCCAGAGTGTGAATGTAGAGTGCTAGCTAGAAAGCCCTCCCGAGTCATCAATCACATGGTACATGCGCAGCCTAAGTGGAGTTTATTCATGACGGACAGTATTTCAGCAGGGCTTGATAGATGGGTGAGGAAAAGGAGACAGACTTTATGGAGGATAGAAATAGTTACACAAGAGATTCTTCATTAGTGAGAGAACCTTAATGATATGAAGCATGGCCAAGCAGAGTCAGACTGAAAGCTGGGGCTGTCCTGCTCTTCTCTGTCAACAAAACAGGCACCGTCACCTCTCTGCAGCTGCGGCCGCTTGCTGCCTGCTGGTACCAGGCAAGAAAGGCACAAGAAGTCGGTCCACACATCACCACACAGAAACTCCACTGACAAGCAGTTCTGCTCTGAATTTACACTAGTGCCATTAGAAGGAGATGTTGGACAGCACTACAATCAGACTGCTGCAGCTCAAGCAAGGCAATGGAAAAAAAAAGAGCTCTCATGATCCCCTACGCAGAAGAAGGTTAATTGCTTAGATCTACCTCACTAGGACACCATCAAACCAACACCCGACTATCCCTCCTACCCACAGGAGAATAAGTGGGAGACAAGCCAGTCTGCCCCTATTTAAGAACTGCTCCCAGCTGTGATCTGAGCTACCAAACATGATTCCTCCAACACCTGTTATTCTTGAACAAGCACCACAGGTCAGCAGCACAAAATGAAACTTTGATGTTATCCAGGAAGAGAGGGCAGCAAGCACGGCACGTTACGCTCTTGCAGGGAAATAAGACCACAATACTGGATGTACCATCACTCAAGGACTGACACCTGCTAGAGCCAGAACAGTTACAAACACTACTACAGCAGCATTCTCTGCCATAGGAAGTGCTGGGGGACAATAGGTTATAAGGGAAAGGCAACATCATTTCCATTCGAAACTTGCCACAGGAACCACCACCACAGCTTCGGACATGACACAGCTCTCCCTACAGAGACTGGGAGAAGTCAAACACCTCCCTCCACAAAGCTGCATCACCACAGCCCACAGTCTGCTGCTGCTCAACAGGAGTAAAATATCCTCCTAGGACGACATGAGCACTTGGCTATCTCATAACACGGACCGAGGGTCGATAGTGCCCTCTCCTGGCAAAAGGTACATGAGAAATGTAAATGGCAAAACCAGACTATATTTCAACAACAGAAGTGGGAACTTTCAGAAACCAAAGCTGCCTGGAAAAGGTTCAGTTTAATAATAATAATTTCTCCTTCCCTTCTGTTTCCCACGCACACAGGAGGGAGGTCCACATGGAACACTAGATGCCTACACGTAGTTTAAAGGACACCTCTGCATTATTGCTAGTGACCCACGCTCAAAATTGGCCACAACTAGAAGCTAGCAGTCTGCTAAAAACAGGATTATCTCACCAAACTTTGCAGCACACTGAGGACAGGGTGATTATGTGGAAAGGACAAGCTAGAATAATGAAAGGAAGTCATGAAAGGTACTTGCACCCTGATTATGGGCTAGATTAGAAAGCTCACTGCTCTATCAATGTCTTATTAATTTGTTTCACTTCTTTTTCCGGGTACACCTTTTCAAGTGTTAATTTAACCAATATGACCTAATCGGTGTATTGGCTTATAATGCACTTAAGAAAAAATGAAAAAAAAAAAAAATCTACATTATTCACCTCTAACTAATACCTACATATGCAATTTTTGTCACTTTGTGGGAAATAAAAGTTACCCTGAATGGCCTGGTATGTTAAGGTATAATAGGTTTATTTAAAAATACAGCTGTCCTCTCTGTGTACCATGATCTTCTAGTCTTGTTAAAGAGCCTCTGTCACCAGGGCCTGGAAGACTTAATATACGACGTTTATTATGATTAGAAATCATTTGTACAGCACTGTAAATTCACACAGCACTTTCCCAAGACCATTTATAAGTCTAATGGCACTATAAATCCCCGTTAGCTTCCTCACTTTACTCCTCAGAATCTCTATTTATACAAATGATCTTGTCCCTCCTGCTGCAATCTTGCCTTTGAATACATCAAGCCACGGTCCCACACTGGGCTGCCCATCCCCCAAGTGACAGGCTGGGTGGACTGCTAAAAAGCTCTGGACTATGGACTTTAAAAAAAAAAGTAAAAAAAAAAGTTTTACTATCTTTTTTAAATGTCCCTAACAGCACCACGATAATGACACAGATATTTGGCTTTCAAAGCACGCTGGCAACAAACGCTGCTGTTTGTACTACTGTTTGCAGCCAACAGCCTTAAAGCAAGAATTGGAAGACGTGCTCGTGTGCAATCTGCATCACATCGCTCAAGCATGCACGCAGCCAGCAGCAGGCCCTCCCCCTGCCACCACACGTACTTGATGCTGTCGGTGTGTGTTTTATATTCCATGATGGTGTTGGGAGGTAGGTTGAGCACCCTTCGTAACGTGTCGCGTATCCGGGCTGTCGTGGCCTGGTCGCTGGCTGTCTTGTTCCATATGGAGATGATATCCTCCTGCGGAGCAGCACGTGAGGGGTAAGGAGACGGGACTTTCTGTAGCCCCGCCAAATGGAACCACACGCCAGCTCTCAAAACCGCTTACCTGGAATCGGACAGAGACGACTGCCCCGCAGATTTCTTCCCCCACCATAAACTGTTCTCCCAACATTGCCAGAATGAGATTCTCCCAGCATCGGGACGCTAAGCCCTTTCGCAGACGGATAATCCATTTACCACCATTTTTGTTGGCATCATCCTAGGAAGAGGGGCAAGAAATTGATTTGTTTTCTTCTAGCTATTTTTCCACTTCCCACAAGACAGCGGAGTCACAGACAGGAGCAGATATTGATTGAGTGGGGCGAGGGACAGAATGGAAGTATTTTCAAGCAGAAATATTTTGCTTCTCCCCCACACAAGCAGAGAAAGAGGAATATCACTTACTTTGAATACAAAGTATTTGAAACAACGACTCTGTGTTCCAGACGAAGCTCTATGCACTGAAGACTTGAGCTCTAGTGTTTTGACCTCACTAGCAAAGACTAACACCAGCCTACGAATCTGCACGCAGAACCACAGGCAAGGACCATAAAACTATTCCTAAATCAGAGACTGGGTCCCACTTTGTCTAATCCCCTGTATATGTACTTCTGCTTCTAAAACAGGAAAAATCCCTCACCACAGAACATGGGGAAAGCAGGGAAACAGTTTGCAAAGTGATATTTAAAAGCAAGTGAAAAGTTGGTAAAACACTTCCCTTCCACATTTCCAGGAATGGGCTCACAAGTTGTGTTAATACAGAAAGGACCAGTCTGTTCTCTGGGAAGCACTGACATTTATCACATATCATACAGCTGAGTGTTTGTTCCAGACTGTGGTGACCCAGGAAAAAAATGAGAAGAGAGAGTAAAAAAAAAAATTATGCTAAGCACCCAGTCCATCACCTCAATATTGTGATTCCACATGTTTCACCTGAAAAAGAGCTGAAAACTGCTACAGACCCCTCTGCTTCACAGACTGCACACCCACAAACAGCAGCTCCTCCTCTGTGTGGAATGCTGTGGCATTCTCTTGTACAACACTGTAACTGGGAAATCTTACAAGGTGAGAGGGGAACAAATTCCATTCAAAGTCAAAAAGAGAGAGGTAAGAACAAGCCAAAGAGGTGGCAGTTAGGAAAGGAAAGGGAAGACAGGTCTAGAATAGGAACAGAGAAGAACAGAGGATAAATTCAGAGGGGACTGCACAACACAGGACATCCTTGGCCATATCATGAGCAATCCCCTCTGCCAAGCTGGGGCACAGCTGCCAGGCAAGGCAGTCCAGCCCCTCTTAATGAAACAAAGTTAACTTTATTTTAGCCCTAAAGCTTCTTCAGGGCTCAGATAAAACTAAACATCTGTGTGCTCTCAGAGACAGCAAGCGCTAACAAAGCAATCCTGACCAAACATGAGAGGCCCAGCATAACTGCAGCATTCACCAGACTCCCAGTTCTCAGGTTCGTGCTAAAGCCTGTACTGAAAGGGGAAGTCAGCTCTGGACAAACCTCAAAGCGTGGCAGCAGCCACATGCAAGGTGCAGAATCCAGATCAACACAAGTTCTACGAGTGTGGCACGCTCCCGTGAGATGCAAACTACTTTCTGATTAAGCGCCCTTGTTTTCCAAGTTGTGAACATGACACTAAGAATTAAGTGTCTATGCTTCAGCCTTTAAGCAGAGAGTCAGTTTTAACTCCTCAAACTTTCCACAATGACAAATAAGGGTAAGAAGAGAAAACGGTATTGCTCAAAATATTTTAAAGGTGGTTTAAGCAAGTTCAGGGCTAGAAAAAGAACAGTGATTGTGAGGCAGATGCTGTATTGTGTGTTTTATGGTTATTGTTGGTTTTCTTTCAGCTTAAACAAGCTTCAGTTCAGTCAAGCATTTGATTTCTCTTTACCAGAATAATAATGATCTGCAGCCCAGTAAATCACCAGGGAACATTATGCATAGCGCTTCTCACTTTACCCAGAAAAGGCACAGATGGATCTAGAAAAAGATAAGAGCTACAGAAGCGCATATATGTGTCTAGAAGAATGACAGCAAGTAAGGATTAGTTTGGAAGAGAAAGCAGCATAAACAAAGCCTTGCAAAGCAAGCAGCAAAGGGAAGGCCAGCAGCAAGATCCCAGGTCCTCTTCTATAAATACAAGAAGGGAGCTGAGCCAGAAGTAAAAAAAAAACAAAGAATCTCTTCGCCCTCATCTTAAAATGGCTACAGGGAAATGCTTTATAGAACTTCTGTTATTATTAACTTGTGAACTCTCTGGTTGACACATTATCAGAGCAGCCAGCTCACCAGGAGTCCAAAGAGGGTTAAACATTTTATATAAATTGTATTTGCAGTAACTGGCTATAAAACACCTTGCTTAAAATAATTGCCAACTAGGGTCACATATAAATTTCTCAGGACCAAGCAGCATAATTAGGTACTTCAGAGCAACACATAAAATCCTCATATTGCAAATGGTAGTGGTCATTGCTGGAAGCAAGCCAGGAACTGGAAGAATGATTTGCTGGGCAAAGATTTTTATTTTTTTTTTTCTTTTTTAACAAATTGGACAGGAATTAACAGAAGCAAACTAAGTGCCCTGGAACAAAAAAAAAAAAAAGGGCTAAGTCTTCTTTCCATCTCCAGCTTTCTGTAGAGCTGTAGGATTTTAACCTCTTCCTTCCCTGTCTGAAAAACAGTTGGTTTCTTATAACCTTTGTTGAATTCCACTTACAGAGGTCCAGCACTTCTAGAGGAAAGCCCCACACTGCTGTCACTGGACAAAGCTCTAATAGGGGACCGGTGTCTATATTAGGAGGCACAGAACTTAGTCAGGGTCCCCCTTCTTTGAGCTCCAGGCAACATTGCCAAGAGGACCCCTGGACCCACAGGCAAAGGCAGTTCTGCAACTTTTGGGGTAGTGCAGCTAGTGACTCCCTACACCTTTCCTCTCCTCTGCCAGCAAGTCACAGGACTGCTTGGTTACATGGGACAGTTCTGAAGACAAGTTCACAAAACCCAGAAGAAGGGACTGCACCCAAGACAAGCCTAGAGTGCCATTTAATAACAAGTCCCTTCACGGGAGAAGGCTCCCTCCAGAATACTCAGGGAAAATATCAAGGCAAAAATGAGAGCTCCAACTCACCTCCCACATGGGTTTGATCCCCTCTTTGAAAAGGTGGAAGTCACTATGGCCTGTCAGGTCCCCAGGACGTACCATGTGACTGTAAAACCGCCAGAACTGCTCCACCTGCAATGACACGAACCACACAATGAGGCTGCTCAAACGGTTCACAGCCAGGATTCCTATAGAAACAGGCTTCCCTTTCCACATCAGCTGGCCAGAGCCACCTTCCTCTCTTCTGTTGTACTTTCTTGTCACAAGGGTGGTGATTAGGATACCCAGAAGGCAGCGCTAGGATCAGAGCTTGGGTACCTGTTTCTGACTGGCTCCACTACCAGATGACCACTTGAAATATTCAGCAGGTGCCTCCAAAGTAATTTGGTGTTTGTCTGAAGAAATCTGTGCTAAAATAGATACCTGCTGCTCTGGAGAACAGTCCCAAACACATCTTGTAAATCCTCCTGCCCAAACTTCCAATTAGTGGATATGTGTCAAGCGTATCAGCTACAGCCAAGCCTTTCCACACCACACACATTATTCCTGCAACAACCACCGCTCCCTGCAATCGTGGAGACTGCAGGAGCCTCCAAATGAGACATTTTTGGTATTTAATTTTACTGTATCTAGGTTTTAAGACAAAAGACGCATTCTGTTGCTGGTTTAAGATCTTAGGCACCATTCAGAGCTTTTACTTAAATACCTCTTATTTCCTTTAACCATCTGCCATGGTACACTTTGACCAGTTTCCATTCTGGCACTCCTGTGTCTACTCAGACAATCTGACCTGAAGGCAAGGGAATTATCTTTTCTAATTCTTAAAAATAACATATTTATCCTTTGAGATTCTCTAGGTGAGAAAAGATTTTAGAGAGGCTGGATCTTTAAAACAAAATTAAGGCACTGGAAGAGGTTATACTAATTCCTACACTTTAAGAGGACTCTATTCAGTAAGACAATAGCTATTAAGCAGACCAACATCTGAAGCTAGAAGGGTTAAACACCATCCCACATACTTTATCAGGGACCTTAATGACTTGGTCAGCACTTAGAATTTTGCTCCAATCCCTGCCCTTTGCCATCTAAGCAGGAATTTGCTTTTATAGCCAATAAAATAATGAACAAAGGCTGAGGTGGGGTCAGAAGCAATCTATTTATGTCAGACACATCCAAATGCAGTGTGAAAATTAAATTATTACATCAAGTGAATAGGCCCTCTAGTGGTTAGCACTTAAAGCTTTTAGAGCTTTCTACTTAAAAGTGAAAAATAAAATCTGAACCCAAATTTGGGTTCAGACAACTCTTTCTGAAGCTTGTCCTTCCTTCTCCTTAAACAGAATTTGGAACCAGACAATTTAATCAAATCTGCTGGTTAGCCTCCCTCCACCCTAACTGAACTGTAGCACTTCCAACCTACAAGAGCAACCACTAAGTCTTTGCAGAAAAGAACAGACAATAGAATGTGTGAAGTTTTTCCTTTAAGGAGCTAAAAATCAATGTTAAGTCTAAACTGATTTAACAGACAGACTGAAAAGTTATTGCCAGATCATCATGCAGCCACATTTTTCATTCACTAAACTAAAAGTACTTGTTCACATGATGAGAATAGGAGCATTAACTACCCATGATCCAAACAGGCTTAGAGCTATTCTTCCTGCTCTTATCCGGGTGGATGCAATAACACAACCCAGCTGCCTGGCCAGGCATATTTTTGCAGCCTCCAGAAGGGAGAAAGGGATATTTTTACAAATACTTACATTACAGGAGATAGTGATTTACTGGTGGGCAGAATTAACATTTGCAAGGGACCCTGGAAAATCTGGACAAAATAAAAAGCAGCCAACAGACTTCCTAACCTTGAGCATGGTATTGTATGTGGTGTCTGTACAACAGAGAGACGTTCTGCTTATGTATCTTGGGATCTTAATGATGGTTTTACACTGCCAAAACCATGCAACAACCCAACACTGCCTTTTCAGGACACGCTCAATTTATTTCAGGAATAAACAAACACAAAGAGTGAAAGGGGAAAGGGAGAAGGGTTTGCCTTTTAATGAACTTCACTGCAGTATCAAACCACACCTCAGTCATTACTTCCAGATAGGCAACAGACAAGAAGCCACCAGCAGCTTTTATATACAGCATGCCAGATGCTTGTTCCAAACACAGTTTTTGTGGTGGAAATAACAGGCAGGGAGGAGGTGTATGTGGGGGATTGTACAGTCTTTGCTTCACAGCTACACTGCCTCCAGAAAAACTGTTCCTTTCTTCCCTCGTTTACCTGTCAGGTTCTTTTCCAGCTAGCAGATTTAAGCTACATGGGAGCTCTTTTCATTTTCTATTATCATTCCAGCTACCACCACTACTGTAGGCACAGATGTCTAGCACCAGGCAAAGGAAAACTGCTTAAGACACGTCACCTGCTGTAGGTAATTCAAGAACTCATATGTAAGCCACAACAAGAGGACAGTCTGCACGTGCATACCCCTAGCACACAGGGATTAAGCCAGCCACGATGACCCCACCATGGCCAAGTGACACAAGGACAACAGGGATATACTCACGGAGGCAAAAGTGCCAATCTGTTTGATGTTCTGTTCGTAACTCTGTGAGCTGGTGGGCCTCCCGGGTGTTCGTCTAGAGTACCAGAAGGTGTAATTATACTGCAAGGGGTGCTCAGCTGGCCCTGGGACAACAGCCTGCAGAACAGAAAAGCTTGCTTACACCTCACATGCTCCTCTAAAGGGGGAATGGGGAAAATTACATTCATAGCATCAGAAGTCCAGATGTTCCTGCCCTCACAGACAGGCAAGAACAACAAACAACTGATTCTCATTTTTACAGCAAAGTGCTATGTCTATTAATTGTCTGAAAAGGACGATTAGGCCAGCAGCAGCTGACTATTTCAAAGAATATTAAAAATTTGCAGTGCAGGAAAAGCTAAGGAAATAATAAAGCTCAGGAGACCATCACAAAAAAAGCAACCCTCATAATTATTAGAGGCAGCATTAATAAATTTTCCTTTAGTCCTTAGCTGTGCCTGTCTCAAAGGAAAAAAGACAAACTAAAAAAGGCAACGTGAAAGTTTTAACTTCTTTCAATTAAAGGAAAAAAAAAAAAAAAAAAGAAAAGGCACTCTCCTCCTCTGGGAAGAACAAACCCCATTTATACTAAACCATGATTCAAAAGCAATTATAACTCTTTGGTGACACCAACTCCCTTAAGCAACCAACACCCAAACTCTCTGGGAGGATTAGTCTTAGAACTTGTTATGTCAGCTTTGGCAGAACCCATCGCTAGCAGTGGGCAGTGATCATTTATTTCCAAAACACCAATTTCTGATTAAAAAGACTTCTAATGAGCATAAAAGATGCTATCAAGATCTCATTACTTAAAAGTCAAAATTGACAGAGAAAAAAAACAAACAAAAAAAAGCCCTTATCTTGTGTTATTTGATATTATTACAGGAGTTACTAGGGCTTACATCTCTGCTCTCCTCTTGCATATGGTTAAGTTTATAAGGATTGCATTACTTTAGACAGAACAGTTTTCCTAAGCACAAGATTAAAAAAAACCAACAAAACAGGAGGCATACATGCCTTCTTAACAAGGTTATGCTACACATACAGTGACCCATCTTAAGTTCTTTCAACAGTGGCACAAACACAGCTCGGTAAAGCAACTGCAAGTCACTGCTCCCTCATCATTCAATCCTTCCCCTATACTCTCTTCCAAAAAACATTTTTGGGGAAAACAAAGTTTTATTTCTCATTTCTACTCAAAAGCCTGGCAGAGCACTAGCTGCATTTGTGAAGGGATCATTCACCCCTCAGATTATATCCCTCCAAAAACCACATCAGATTATCCAAATAGTAATGTAGCCCCTCTGTCTTCATTAAAACAGTGACAGCAACCACAGCCCACCAAGACATACTTTCCTTATCCCAGAACTGAGGACTGGCTCTCTAGCAGTCCCACATCACGCCTCAGTGATGGAATACAGATGCCAGCACCATACCTTCCTCTTGGTAGTACTCTGTGGTTTCTCTCGATCATTCTTTTCCTTCTCACTGTCTTTCTGTGTGTTATTCTCCTCGTTCTGGTCATGATCTCCGCTATCATCATCTTTCAATCTGAAAAAGAAAAAGAAGAAAGTGAGTCTCATATCGTGCAGCTGAGAAGGTTCATACCAAGCCCCAGCAGTATCTGCTTCTAAGCTCCCCCGTGGTACAAGGGCCATCAGCGTTTGCAAACCTACACTTGACAACCCACACAGTAAAAACTACAACTACTTTGCATACCCAGAGTCCATCACAGGCATCTCAGGCACACATTTTTAAGCAGAAGCAAGCAACAAAATGCTTTTTTTAGAACAAACTCAAGCAGTTCATAGTAAATGTTCATCTCCCACAGAAAACCCCAGCTCCTTGTTAGGGTTCCTTACTACTCAGCAGGCAAACACGGAGACCCTTCACTGTCACTTCGCTGGTGCTCTCCCACCCAGCTCCCCAAGCCCCTAAGCCCAGCAGAGGC